AGTAATTGCATTCAAATTTGTTCACAGCTTCACATTAAGCAGCTAGTTGTTTTTGAACGACATACTCGCCCTGACAGGAACGTGAAGGGGAAGGGGGAACATGCGACGCCCTCCTCCCTAAGATTTTCTGAGGGTATCAGTCCGGCATATTGTGCAATCGCGCTCAAATCGTTGGTAGCCTGCACTCGGTTGGTAGCCTGCACGACGGTTTTTTACAAGCATCGCAAGGCGACCCAAGGCCGGCGGGGGCGGCGGGCGCAAACGACGATTCCGCGGACCTTGCGAAGGGATGACACTGTAACATTAGCGATGCCCTGCATCCTTAATATTGGTTCAAAACAGATAAAACTGCATATCATTGCATTCATAATTAAACAAGAAGCATGCCTTTTTATGTTCAATGTCCACGCTGCATGGTTTCGTACATCTGAACATGTCAAGTTAAACTAGTTAAATTTTCAGGGAAATTTTGCCTCAGACTTGGTGTGTTGGGGTCAGTTAATAATATGATATTTGTTACCAATCGCAGGATCTCGTAAAAGCCAAAGCACTTTTTCTGCGAAGCCCTACCTTTCCTAATTTGCAACAGACATGGGGCCATCCCCCCGCCCTTCCCTGTCAGACCGCGTTATGAAAACCGTTTAATCAGGATAAGGTCTAAAATTGTTGGCTACCATCCTTTTTTATTTCCTTCACCATGCTGGTATAAAATGTGTTTCAGACCATGAAAAAATAGGTGCTTCAGCAGAATCACACGGTTCGTTACCACAACCTTATCATTGGTTGAAGTTCAATACGCGAGCCAGAATTGTCCATTGCGCGCTAAGCAGCGCTAAGTTGCACGCTAAGTAGCGTGCAAATCTAAGCTTACCTGTGATAATTGTCATGCATAATGTAAGAGTGTCGATTCAAATTAATTTTTTGGACCCTACACAACTCCAATGTTGGGTTGCGTCCCCTTAATGCTGGCCCCTCCTCTCCCCCATACAGCGCTTCTAGCTGGAAGATGACAAAAAAACAAAACATATGGGAAAAAACTAACTGGTGCACAAAACTATCTTCTTTGGGCTTCATTCATCGACCAAAATCTATGGGCTACTACCTTATCCCAATCACGCACAGAAATTGACACTCCTGTGATAATTCCACCACCAGACAAACTATACTGATTTTAGGCATTATGCAGCTCAAACAATTTGTTTCAAACTAAAACAAACAGATTCAGAATAGAAATTGCTTGCAATTAAAAAGAAGCGGACTAAGTCCGTTCACTCGTTTACAACCCCATTAGGGGAGAAAAAGATATCAGGCCCAAGGGGTACTACCTCCCACCTAAATCATACAAGCTGGCACTCCTGTCATTATGCCACCACCACACGAACTATATTGATTTCCACTATCAATGTAGATTGCATAGAAGGAAGGCTGTCTGCCTTGTTTAATGTGTTAAGTTTTTATGCCAAGGGTTCCACCGAAACAATTTTACTCGATGTTAGCAAAAACAACAATCAACTACATCACCCATGCATCCATGCAAATGTCATGCTCACAAATGGAAAGAAAACATGTATATGATCGAACACTGCAGGACGACTTATTTCCAGAGCTTTCCTGTTGTCTTCAACGTGGCTAACGCCAGCACTGTCCTCAGCACAAACCAAATGCAGATATTTCGCTGAACGCGTATGGCAGTTGGACCACAAAGTAACAAAATGTCACTAAAACCTCCTGTTTTTTTAAGTAAACCTCTTGGAAAATGGGTAATGAAAATGAAACCTCGCCCTCCCTTTTCATTGGTGTCACTTGCTACATCAGCTCACTCCTCACTGTTCGTTGTCTTCCCTTTATCCACATGTTTTGTTATCATATTCATTTTCGGCAGCCAAAATTCCTGTTAGCAACAGCTTGGACTGTGAACAATTAAATCATCTCACCGACTGACCCTGAAGCGTTAATGCCTCTTGTCGCCGATGACAGGGTGCTGAATCGCGGCACCTGCATGGAGGAAGACAAGGCCCCAAACTTAAACCCCAGGCAGGTATTTATGGCTGAAATGCGAATGCCGCTTGCAAAGTCGCAATGCATGGAAAGTCAGCGCCCACCTCATACCAGTCGCATTTCAACGATTGATTCGTGCCCTTGCGGCCAGACAAATCCTCATATCTAGATCTTTTTCAGCACTTGATACGGTCTAGTTTTGGACACTGAGAGTCGGCTGGTAAAAACGGCGCATCGGTCGACCGGCCATGCCATGAGAAATACACGGTTTTGTTGCCGACCTGTCAACAAGTCCAGCGACCAACTAAAAATCGTAGGATATTTTTGTCGCCTGGTTGGGGTGAAACCTAAAAAAGGTACCATGTTGCCGCAGGGTACGGTAAAGAGTTTTTACGGAAAACATGGCTTGTGTTGTGCAACGAAATGCATTACCATGGAGACATGATATGCATGTATGGAGACCTCATGTTGGGTTTTGCAGGGTGCACTGTATTATTTCGTCGTGGACGTCAGGACAATCGTTTGTGAAAAACATTTTTGGCACCAAATTTCGCGTGAGAATATGTATGTTTGTCGCCGTTCTTATCCACCGAGTCGGCAGGGCTTACCAACCCTGGCCACTTCCACACGGATTGCATTGAGATGCATTTCAAGAATCTGCAGATACCAGCGCATATGTTGGAACATAACACAGTCGTTATGTTATTACCACAAACAACGAGCGTGCCGCAGCGTGCTAACCTGCGCCCAGCGGGGGGTCTGAGACAACCGGCGTCCGGCCGGAGGGTGAAGTTAACTTCCGCATTTGAATTTCCAACCTCCAGACGCTGTGTGAGAAAACAACGAAGATGCTGCTGTGAAGGTCTAGTCAAATCATGAAGAACTCCACCTTTTTGACCTTAGTAGTAGTACACTGATACTCTGAGTTTGACCCGACCTAGTACACTGATATTGATGGATCAAACTTCGAACCAGCACAAAAAGTGTGGAACTGATAGATGTGCAGATACTGATCAAATTGTGTAATTATGAACGTTCGCTGTTTAACCCGTGCTCGAAAAACCGTAGGGGTAAGTCAACTACCCCGGCCGGACGCGGTTTAGATTTTTTCCAAAATTGTACGCTCGAAGAGCAGAGATAGAAATCATGCTCCAGCGAATGGCACGCGTCCAGATAATCGCATGCAATCATTAATCCTCCCATCTGATACATATTGCAATGATCAATGATATTCGCCGTTAATCTTGTTTTCACCTACAAAACGACCCTTTCTAAACCCAGTTTGTTCTGGAGACACCAATTGAAAAAGGCACTGACAATTTGGGTAGTAATAGCCTCATAAAGTTTTGTAAGGTATATACACAGCAGTCTTGTCAACTACATGCAGTAACCATATGGGTCTTTTGTGTTGTAATCGGATCTGCAGCTTTAAGTACCCTTGCTTCTGTATGCCACAACTGAACCAAAACGTTTTACTAACTTTGACACGTGAAATTTATCTACGTGATAACCAGCCACGGTCAGATATCACAGATGGGTACCAGTTTTTCCCCGCAACATCGTTTGCCGATATCGACGCACGGGTATTTGTATGAAGCTGCACTAAGAAGCACTGAAGCTGCTTCACACGATGACAGGCAAGTAGGCACTTCTTTGCACTCTGCTCCCATGCTTTCCCTTTCCTTTTGCACTCTGTTCCCATGCAGTTTTTACTCCTGTCGGTTATCCTCAGCTCTTCTCACGCCAGTAATGCTGAAAAGTAAATATCGTCTCCTTCCCTCCTACCATTACTCGACAAGGACCAAGAACCATTTGGTGCTAAATTTTAAATACCCAAAAGCCAACATAAAGGGGAGTAACCCCAATGGAATCTCGTAAGGTCTTCTAAGTAGCTGATGCATTTTTACTTCGGGGGCGTTTTGCTTCATAGTTAACTTATTTGTCACTTCGCGTTTCCTCGCATTTTATAAATTGATCTCATCGAACTAAATTCGTGAACGCAAGACGAATAGGCACATCAGGACAAGAAACAAAGACGCTTTCACAGCATAATCTGCAGGCTTCTCTGATCGACCCGGCGAAAGACAACGGGCTTCGTTCCTGTTTTCGTACATTTTAGATTTAGTATTCAAATTTGGATTTCAATGTAAGTTTTGCCCAATAATCCAACCGGAAATGGGCTAATAATTTGAAATGAATGAGACCTAGCATAAGCAGAATCGAAAACTCATAGTTTCTAGCCCCGAGGCAGTCCGTATGGCTTGGTACAAAAGCGCCTCTGCTGCTTAATCATGTGCCTGTTCAACTTACACCTGCCAATTTATTCTAATGGGACCAAATCATAAAGTACCGCAAACGTGAAATGACGAGGCATACAATGGCGAAGCAGAAGCGCATTCTAAGTCAACATGACCGGCCATTTTCATACGCCTGACAATATCACAATGGTTTCGCTCCTATTAGCCCTGGTTTTCGCGTAATTCAGATTTGATATCGAATCCGGTTCCTGACGAACGCTATTAGCGCAAAAGGACTTATGTAAGCGATATCACAAACTCTTTCCTTTCCCTCCCCATTCTTGATTCCCGAAAGCCGGCCGCGGCTACATTTCTATGCTTCCTAGTCGCTTAAGATGTTCATCACTCTCCACAGTCTGGGCTGAGCCATGAAACCATCACATGTTCTGACTCAGTGTATTAAAACACATGTTACAGGCGGTAGCTCGACATACTGGTAACACATTACTTTTGTATCCATTGACAGCGTCTGGAAGATGCCGCTAGAGTGGATATAACGGAAATTGCATGCAAACGCGGCAGGTTGCCGACTGCACATCGCACCAAAATTTATTTTGCCCTTAGTATCAAGTGAACAAATGTGCTTCGTGTATATATATATATATATATATATATATATACCTATTACCTTTGCTTATAGCGATATGACGCAGACATCTTCTAACGAAAACCGACGTGGGTCAGACCAGGTGTGAGCGGGCGCGGACCACCAGCGGCGTCCGGTCACGTCTCCGCCGGACATCGGCCCGCTGCCAGCTCGCTGAGCTCTCGGCCACGGACGTCACAGGAGCGGTGACGTCATCAGATGCCGCGCAGTCACCCACCTATTGAGGAAGCGCAGCCATGCGACAAAACTGTACACTGTCATGCACGTTGGATGGACCGTGCGGTGTTGGCAGCAAGCACCTTGCGGCCCACGCGCCACGTCCAGACAAAATCAACACACCTGCATAACCTTATGAATCAAAGCAGCATACCACACAGCATAGCGCTTGAAAGTTCGAATACTGCAGTATCAAAGTCGCTCAATGCAGTAAGCTGTGCTCGGTCGGCTCTGACATGAGTCCTGCGGTTGGTCTGACCCGCCCTCGAGCTTGAGGAGTCGCTGTATCGTTTCGTGCGGTGCCTCGGTTGATTGGGTGTGATTGTGTGACTGCGCTGCGTATCATGCAGCTTGCCTGCCGATCTGTTGTGGCCCCACCCTTCTTCTCCATAAACGCGTTACTCCATGATACGTCACGTGTCCCGCATCTGCCTCATTTTGTTGACGTAGATAGATTCTCTTCTTTGTTCCGAAACCATAAGTGTAACCACTGGGAGTGGGCCGGGCGAGTAAAGCTCCCTCTAATTTTTCCGCAATAGATGTTGTCACCTTCAGTCTTGCCAGCAGAATAGACGCTTTCGCATTTTTGCAAAACATGATAAAATCAGGCTGTCCCCAAGTTTAAATCCTCCAATCCTGATATGCCCCACATGGCTTGATTACGTCATCGTACCTTGCATTCCCAAACAAACATTACCTTTGAACGGAATGTTTCACAGTGATGACATTAAGGAAAGCATAAGATATGTTGGGCCAGGCCCACTTAAAACTCTTGGTACACTTTTTAAGTGGAAAGGACTGCTCTAGGCATTTCAATTTCCTGTTGAGTAATACTCCTCAAGACATCATGGTTCATTACGCGAATGTACCTCGCACAACATCGATTGCATTGATTGAGAGCCAACTGAAGGCCGTTATATCTGAAAATCGCGCTCACGAACACCAGATATGAACGCCTGGACAATTATATTTCTTGGCCTTGATCGCCGCGAGGCTTATGGAATGGCAGGATTTGGATGACGTTATTGTGACGTCAGGAATCACAAGATGACTGAAATACCTTTCTCAATATACCTATCCCCATTTTCGCGGGCGTATAGCTCGGAAACTAGAGGGGCAGGCCTTAAGAACGATGGATTGTGAACAACACAGAAAGCTCTTCAAGATGGCTGTTTCAGCTCAAAATCCCATTTAAACGTGCACGCTCCCTTTAAAATTAGAATGCATCGGCCGGATTTGCCAGATTCACTCAGTCTTTGCTTTGATAAGCCTTTTCAACAGATAGCGAGTCAGATCAGAGCCGCCTTCGGATACCTGGATTTCCACCTAAAGTTAGCGTCCTGAGGCGTCACTATCAGGTCCAGTAAAGGAGCCTCAGTTTCCGATTGTCTCATACCATAACTATCCAGAATGAAATGATAATGATAACCTTACGAGCATCTTCTCATGACGCGGTCTTCATGTGCGCTGATATCCATGAAGCTATTCCGCCAATAAATTTTCGAGTTAGAAAAGGAAAAAGTTC